GTCACGTTGGCTATCTTCCAGTCATTAGGTACGGAAGCCGATTTAAAGGATAGGTTACAAACCACAGATAATAGTTCAGCAATTTCCCATTTGAGTTCTTTTAGAACCCTTGAATGAATGCCATCCGGTCCTGGTGATTTGTTAACTTTAAGTTTTTCTATCTGTTCCAATACTTCCTCTAATGACACTTCAATCCAGGACAGCTCCTCAGATTCATCACCCTCAAAGAACGGTGCAGATTTGGGAATCTCCCTAACATTCTCAGCTGTGAAGACTGAAGCAAAGAAATCATTTACTTTCTCTGCAATGGCTTTATTGTCCTTGATTGCTCTTTTTATATCTCGATCATCTGGTTTTTTTAGCAGGCTTCCTGCTTCTAATGTACTTAAAAACATTTTGCTATTTCTTTTTGAGTTTTTGGCTTTACACTTGATTTGACAGTGTTTCTGTTCCTTTCTATTTATCTCACTAGGATTGGACTTCCACTTCTTAAAAGATACCTTTTTGTCCCTCACTGCTTCTTTTACATGGTGGTTAAGCCACGGTGACTCTTTTTTAGGTCTCTTGCTATGTTTTTTAATTTGGGGTATACATTTAAGTTGGGCCTCTATTATGGTGTCTTTAAAAAGTTTCCATGCAGCTTTCAGGGATTTGGCTCTAGTCACTGTGCCTTTTAATTTCTGTTTAACTAACCTCCTCATTTTTGTGTAATTCCCTTTTTTGAAATTAAATGCCAAAGTGCTGGACTGTTGAGGTGTTCTTCCCACCACAGGACTGTTAAATGTTATTATATTATGGTCACTATTCCCAAGCGGTCCTGTAATGGTTATCTCCTGGACCTGGACCTGATCCTGAACTCCACTCACGAATAAATGGAGAATTGCCTCTCCCCTTGTGGGCTCCTGAACCAGCTGCTCCAAGAAGCAGTCATTTAAGCCATTGAGAAATTTTATCTCTGCTTCTCTTCCTGAGGTGACATGTATCTAGTCAATATGGGGATAATAAAATCCCTCATTATTATAGAGTTCTTTATTTTGGTATGACACTGGTATGCATGTATCAGCTCCCGCCTGCTCTCCCACTGCGCTGCTGCCTCTATGGGAAGCAGCAGGGCTAGAGGGGCTCCAAGGTAGCCAGCACAAGCAGACTGATAGAGAGGCAGCTAAGAAGGAGGTGGGGGTGCATGTAACCCAATAAACCCAAGTGTATGGGTTCATTGTGTAACTGGGCATTCACCAATACCCCTAGTGCACATAAAAATAATTGTTCTGCAGCTGGATGGAAAAGATGAGGGGGAGCACTGGTGAAGACTCTTTCCTCAGTCTGTGTCCCTGGGGGGGTCCCCCCTCTCTGGGGTGGGGGGACTGCAGGGCCCGGG